TCTCAGTCAACTACCAGACTTGACTCTTGGGAACTCTGCTCCCCGGCCCAGCACTCACGACAGAGGAGACACCGAGGCCCCCAGGACCTCAGGGGGTGGGTGCTGGGGTCTTCTCCAATAAACGGGGTGCCAACCTCACCCAAAGTTCCTGACCCCCATTGATGTCTGAGGGGAGGGTCTGGGAGGACTCAGCAAAAAAGAGGGGAACTTCCTTCAGCTTGTCTGGGCCCCAAGGAAATAAGGTAAGACCCTTTAAGGGAGGGTATGCTTCAGAGATTCTTGGGTAAACAGGAGCCCAGAGAGGGCAGAGCCTTGCCCAAGGTCACACAGCGAGCCCAGGAGTGGGAGGTTTGGCATGGAGTTTCATATTTGTTCCTCTTTTTTTTTTTCTAAGATTTTATTTATTGGGGCGCCTGGGTGGCCCAGTCATTAAGCGTCTGCCTTTGGCTCAGGTCAGGATCCCAGGGTCCTGGGATCGAGCCCCACATCGGGCTCCCTGCTCGGCGGGAGGCTTGCTTCTTCCTCTCCCACCCCCTCTGCTTGTGTTCCCTCTCTCGCTGTGTCTCTGTCAAATAAATAAAAATAAAATCTTAAAAAAAAGATTTTATTTATTTATTTGACAGAGAGAGAGAGCATAAGCAGGCAGAGTGGCAGGCAGAGAAGCAGGCTCCCCGCGGAGCAGGGAGCCTGATGCGGGGCTCGATCCGGATCATGATCTGAGCTGAAGGCAGCCGCTCAACTGACTGAGCCACCCAGGCGCCCCAATATTTGTTCCTCTTTTTACCAAAACTCCCAAGAAAGTGGGGCTGAAAATGGGGGAGTGTTCTAGAATGAGGGCTTCTGCTCAACAGGAGCCATATTGGGATTTAGGAGTCAAAGTTAAGCTCTGGGTCTGGTGATTTTGGGGAGTGAAGGGTATCTAGTGGGTGAGCTTCTGTCTTCTGGTACTTGCCATCCCATCCCCACAGGCTGCCCAGAAGTTGGCAGCTGGGGCCCAGGGTCACTCAAGGTTGCTGCCACTCCTCTGGGTTATAGGTGCTCTGAAGGTGCCCCTCCTCCCTGCTCTGGGGAGGAGGTGGGAATCACTGCCTAGCAGGCTGGGATGGGGAGAGCACGGAACCTGGGAGAGCTATCCCATCTCCAGCTCCCTTGGCCAGCTTCTGAGCAAGGCCTGGGCCACATTTTGCCCTTCTCCATGTGGGTGGTGCTGGGTCAGAGAAAACCCAGATCAGAGCTTGAGCAAGTTGCTCAGTGCTGAGGTGTCCCATGAATCCAGAGGGGATGGTCAAATATCACAGTCTGCGGGAACCTGGCAAACTCCTTCATCCTGGGCTCACTGCCTTGGGGACCAGGAAAGGCGGGACCTGGGCTGGGGAGGCTCCGGTTCCCAATGCCTCTGTAATTTTTCAGTTGCAGTCTCTAAGGAGCCTCTAATTAGGACGGAGCAGAACCACCACGACCACCCAGACAGGAGAGGAGGGGTGCCCTATACCACCCTCTGGCCCCAGGGCCTGGGCCTGAGCCGGGCCCCAGGGGACCGGTAGAGGAGGGGCCAGAACTGGGGACGAACCGGGGGCCGTGGAGGCGGTGGAGGGAACGCTATGCACCGCCCCCGGTCCCCGCTCTCATGTTCCCCTAACTCAAACCAGACGCCCCCGCCAGATCCTGCCCAAGTGTTTAACCTCGGAGACGCCGCTGGAGAGATTCAATGCATGAGAGTGGAGTCGCGGGGTAGCCTGGAGGCCTGGGTCTGAGAAGGAGGTCTGGGCGCAGCCTGGGGGGTGACAAAGCCTGCCAGGATGAGACAGACTGGAGCTCCCTCCTGAGACCCTGGGCAGGGGATCCAGAGCACCCTCAGGGCAGGAAGGAGTTAAATGCACTGCTGTCGGAGGGAGGGGATGGGAGTGGGGAAGGGGGCCCAGAGCCGGCTCTTTGTCATCCCGTAATGAGCAACAGATGCGGAGCTGCGTGCGGGCCTAAACAGACTGCTTCCCAGGCCAGAACCCCCGCCTGCGCCCAGCCTGGGCTCCGCCCAGACCCGGAGCTGTGTCTTAGGCTCCGCCCATCGACTCTCCGACCCCTTCTCATCCAAGCGCGAACCTCGCCAGCAGGCGGATGCCCTCACTATCAGACAGATCCCGCCTAGCTACGAGCCACGCCCACCCACTACTGTCAAAGTGCCCCTCGGGAGCTCTGCAGAAGCCCCGCCCACCAAAGCCACAAGCCTCGCCCCCTGCCAGCTCAGAGATTCTCGCAGAACCATTGCCCCGCCCCTCTGCTCTATCAGCTCCGCCCCGGCCGAGGCAGTAACAGTGGCTCCGCCCACCAAGGCTATAAGCCCCGCCTCCTCAGGGCGGCTCGCGCAAACTGGCAGTTATTAGACCCCGCTTCCCGGAAGTATAAACTCCGCCCAGAGTTTACACTTTCTCCTCACGCCGCGTTGCGTGCCCCGCATAACAGAACCACAAGCTCCACCCCTCCTCGGAGCCGGAGACCCGGTTCACGAGTGCAGGGAATCCCGCAGAGACCCTTTCTCGGTCCGGAACAGCTGCAAATCCCGCCTTCCAGGAGGTTACAGGTTCCCCTTAAGCTCCTCTTCAGGCTCCGCCCCCAGTTACAAGTCCCGCCCATTCACAGCGGTTCAAATCGCAGGGGCGGGGCCCCTTGCTGGGAAAAGAGCTCCGCCCACGTCTGGCTAACACTTTCCCTGCACACTGAGGTAATGGCCCACCTACAGAGTCCTCGGGTCCGCCCACTAAGGATACTCACAAACTCCACCCTGACGATCCCTTAAGTCCCGCCCACCCAGAGCTCCTCTTGCCGGCGGCATCTTGCAAAAGAATCTGCCCACGCAGAGAGCGTAACCCAATCTCTTCTCTCAGGCTCCACCTACTGTGAATGCATAGCCACGCCCATCTATAGGTTCCACTTTCGCGGGAATCTGGGGCCCGGGACTCCCAAAGTCGCTCACCGCCTTCTGAATATGCTCAGACTAGTGTGGATCCGAACTCCGTGTCCCTGACCAGGATGCCGCGAACCCGGCCCTGGCACCCCGTCTCCTTCCCTACTCACGGTTTCTGGTCGCCTAGATTGCAGGTTCTCTGGAGGGAGCTCTGAGATGAGTTCGAGAGCCCGACGGGAGGCGTGGATGAATGGGCCTTTGGCGCCACCTGCCTTCGGCGCCTGGGCTTGCAGGCACCGCGAACCTGCCCCTCTCCCAAAGCACCTTAAGGCCCAATAAATACTTGCTTAATTTATTAAATGTTCGTGTTATTCAGATATTGGCCGCTTCGGCAAATATTTGCCCCCCAGCAAAACAGCAGATCCACTCGCATGGGTCCTCTGTCGTATTTGGAAGACCCCAAGGGGGTCTTTGTTAGCTGAAGAGGCCCCCGCCAGTCTTTACAGCGCCTGCTGGGACTTTTGCTGCACCTTGCCCACGAACCCCGTTTCCCAGGGGCGAAAGCACGGACTCTCACCTGAATCCTTAGGGCTGGGTCCTCCCCGTCCCCAACTAGTGCTCCAAAGTGTGGACACCTTCCTTAGAGGTGTGCCTTTGGCAGGAGGGAGTGAGTTTGGGCTCACAGACCCTCATGTAGAAGCTGAGAGTCACAGGTTTGGGAGCAGGATTGATCTCAGGGCAGACCTCTTTATCAGCGCTCATCACTACATTTGCCAATATTCGCCTGCTCACTCCCACACTAGACTGGGGCTCCAGGAGTCCAGGACACTCTGCAGTTCGGTACCAGGGGCTCAATGTAATGTTTTTCAAACATTACTGGGACAGACAAGGCTTGTGGCTTTGGTGAAGGGGGCAGCACTAACATCTACTGAGTTCCGGTAGGTACCAGCACCCAGCTGGACACCCTTCACTTCCTGCATCAGGCATTGCTCCCAAGCAACTCAAAGTCTGGGGAATAAGATGCTTTCCAGATGGGATCCCAGTTCTGGCGCCCTGGCCACTATGAATGGGAGTAGGGTTTGGTGCCAAATAATAATGAAAATAATACTTAGAATGCTGGCAGCAGCGATTGTCTGCCTCATCCTATTCTACGGGCTTTACATGTCTTTACCCACTTGAGGACCAGAACCCCCATGCAGTGAGTGCCACTCTCACCATGATTTGCAGATGAGGAAGCTGAGGCCACTTGCCCAAGTGCCTTGCGTCAGGCCATTCACCCTATTTGACCAAGTTAGTAAGTGGAGGTTTGAACCCAGATAGATTCTGTGATCCCCAATCCTAGAGGAGCCAGTCCATTATGATAGCCATGTCTCTGATTAGAAAATGCCCACCTCCCAGGAAACTTGCCTTTTTTTTTTAAGTCAATACATTTTTATTTAAGGAATTTTACGTGATTCTTTCCACTGCCAATCATCGTAGTTCCTCCCAAGTCAGAGTCATAATCTTCAAAATAGCCCTTTTAAAAAGAACTTTTGTTCAATCCACAGTTGTCACTGTCAGTTCACAATTCTCCACGATCGGCTTCTTTGATCTCCACTTGGATATGGACATACTTCAGAAATTCCCCACCTATAATCTTTGGAATCCAATTTCTTTACTTTAGGGCCACATTTAGGGGAAGAGTAGATGGATCTTTCTGGTTCTCAATTTCAGGCACTCTCTAAACATGAATAAGTTCAAATCATATTCACCCCTGAACGATCACACCCTAGAATTGTACAGATTGTTGGGATACGTCAATACCTAAAACTTAAAATATTTCACTGCAGGGCACCTGGGTGGCTCAGTCGGTTAAGTATCGGGCTCTTGGTTCTGGCTCAGAGTCAGAGTCTCATGAGTCGTGGGATCATGACAGGAGCCCCCCTGCCCCCCCGCCCCGCCTGTGCCAGCTCTGGGCTCCTCTGGGAGTCTGCTGGAAGATTCTCTCCCTCTGCCCCTCCCCCTACTCGTGCGTGCATGCTCTCTCTTAAATAAATAAAAATTTTAAAAATAAAATAAAATGCTTGACTGTTAGGCCTTTCGCACAGCTTTAGCAGATAGATGTCTTGTAGTTCTTTCCCACAGATTTAACATGTAGTTCTGTGAATTAAGGAAACCACACATCTACTCTATGAGGCATTTCCAGTGATGTAGGTCTACAGAGAAAGCCCCACTGGGACGAACTCAACAGGGGGAGCTTGCTTTTACCAAGGAGACTGCAAGGTGTACACTCCTGGGCTGATCAGGCTTTGATGATACTGGCAGACAAGGCATTACCTGTGACCATGTGGAATCCAGACGAGGGGTCCAGTCCAGGCGCAGTTTTAGGGCATCTGGCAGTGGCCAGGCTTTAGCATGGTTTTGGTGAGTTAAGGGATTTCTCTCTGGGAGGCAACTAGTCGTGGCTGAGAGCAGGCATTCTGCACCAGACAGCCTTGCTTTGATTCCAGCTCCACATCTCGAGGGCTGGGGAGCCTTAGGCAGGTCCTCTAATTGCTCTCTGTTTGTCTCCTCCTACGAAAATGGGCATACTAGAGTAGCCACTCTAGCCACAATAATCTGTCTGAGAGAAGAAAGGACTCATTAGGAGGAGAGTCAAGGTTTGCTGCTGGAGGCCAGTAAAAAACTTCAGGGTGACTGCCCAGACTTCTACAAGAAGTGCTGTCTGCTTTAGCTGGCTCGGGAGAGCCCTGAAGACAGAGTCCAGAAACTGATCGTGGGCGGGGGCGCCTGGGTGGCTCAGTCGGTTAAGTGTCTGCCTTCAGCTCAAGTCAGGACCCCAGGGGCCTGGGATCAATCCCTCCGTTGGGTTCCCCGCTCAGCGGGGAGGCTGGTTCTCCCTCTCCCTCTGCTGCTTCCCCTGCTTGTGCTCTCTCGTTCAAGTAAATAAATAAAATCTTTAAAAAAAGAAAAAAACAAAACAAAACAAAACACCTGATCATGGGAGAGCTGAATCAGCACAAGATGAAGTCCCAAACCCACCAAATCCCTATAGCAGAGGTTCTCAGTCTCCCTTGGTTCGTGGTAGCCTCCATATCCTGAGTACCTCAGTGGGTTTTTCATGGCGCTCCTGGGCCAGAAACATGCCTCACAGTTCCATTTAATAAATATGAGAAGTACTTGTATTTTTTAAAAAGATTTTATTTATTGGGGCGCCTGGGTGGCTCAGATGGTTAAGCATCTGCCTTCGGCTCAGGTCATGATCCCAGTGTCCTGGGATCGAGCCCCACATCAGGCTCCTGGCTCAGCGGGGAGCCTGCTTCTCCTTCTGCCTCTGCCTCTCTCCCTGCTCGTGCTCTCTCTCTGTATCTCTGTGTCTCGAATGAATAAATAAAATCTTAAAAAAAAGGAAAATTCTGACTTTAAAAAAAAGATTTCATTTATTTATTTGAGAGAGAGAGAAAGAGGGAGGGATTGGAAGGAAGAGCATAGGGAGAGGGACAAACAGACTCCATGCTGAGTGTGGAGCCTGACGTGGGGCTCGATCTCACAACCCTGAGATCAGGACCTGAGCCAAAGTCAAGAGTCCAATGCTTAACAGACTGAGCCACCCAGGCACCCCCAAGAGGTATTTGTATTTTAATACCTCAGTAGTCATTTGAAAGAATAATACACATACATTGAAAGATGGAAGCATATGTTTATTCTTCAGTAATCACAATCACTTGCTAGGAGGATATGTGTGCCTGTTAGGCACTGCACAACTTTTCAAAACTTGGAATCAGATTGGACGTCGCCACTTTCATTTCCTGTTACACACTGACTTTCCCAATAGTACTTGCTTTTGATCACGGCAGCTGCCAAAAACCCAGATTCACAGAGATATTATGTCATCAAAAGGCACGTAGTGCAATCCAGTGTTGAAACTGTGAACTGCCTCAAGCTAGCAGTCTGCCAGTTGTCTGACAGATGTCGGGTATTTCTGTGTTTCTCTCAAAGTTTTATAATATTTTATGACTTCCTGTGAGTTTGCTGCAGTGTGGCAGGCCCTACATCAATGGAAAGGTCTTGTTGACAGCTGTATCCTCATGGAGGACACTTGGAGAGCCGGGAGGAAGGTTCGGGATTGGGGATGCCTACACCCCTTCCCCCCTTTCTCTACTCTCCTGCCAGGTTGGCCCGGGGTGGCTGGTGATAGGGTAGAAACGGAAACCAAAATGGGCCTGTGGGTGCCGTGCAAAAGTCAGATTGGGAAGACAATGTCACATCCAGGATGAATGATGGAAGTCAGCGAAGAGCATGCAAACCTGGAATTTGGGGGTGTGCTACCAGGCAGGAGAAAGGAACTCTTTGGGTCTTGACACATGGATTGTCTTGGGGGGTGCTCAGGGAAAGGTTGATTTTCTTGCTCTAACACAGACATCTGGTGGCAGCTTTTTCCAGAGGGTTCGCTCCAGCCTGGACCTAGCATTGGCCCACACCACGAAGAGTCAGACTTCCTTTGGAATACTTACGGAGAGAAGAATTGCAAGACTTGGGGAGAAAGGAATGGTAGAGTCAGTCTATCCCAACCATTAGCTGCCCAGTCCACAGACTGATGCTTCACCAGGCCCCAGTGATTCTCCATTCTCTGTGGCCACTGAAAATAGGCTGGTCAAAGAAGCCCCCAAAGGGCTGGTTGAAATGGGTGCTGCACCTGGATATTTCACAATAATTTCCCCACTTCAAGGTTCTTAACTTTATTATTTATTATTTTTTTAAAAAAAGATTTTATGTATTTATTTGACAGAGAGAGAGAGCACAAGCAGGGGGAGCTGCAGAGGGAGAGGGAGAAACAGGCTCTCTGCCAAGCAGGGAGCCCAACACAGGGCTCGATCCCAGGACCCTGGGATCACTACCTGAGCTGAAGGCAGATGCCCAACCGACTGAGCCACCTGGGTGCCCAACTTTATTTTTTTAAAGATTTTATTTATTTGAGAGTGAGAGAGAGAGTGAGCATGAGCAGGGGGAAGGGCAGAGGGAGAAGCAGACTCCTGGCTGAGCGGGGAGCTGGATGGACGTGGGGCTCCATCTTGGGACTCCCGGGATCACGGCCTGAGCCGAAGGCAGATGCCCAACCAACTGAGCCACCCAGGCGGCCCTAAGGTTCTTAACTTTAATCACAGCTGCAAGTCCCTTTTTCCATGCAGGGTAACATGTTCACAGGTGCCAGAGACTAGAGAGTGGACACATTTGGGGCCACCATTCTGCTTACCACACTTGGAGACCAGGAAGATCATTCTAGGTTGGTGTGAGATCCCACTGGCCACGGGGAACAGGTCCTGCAGTGGAGCATCCAGTAAGTCCGACAGAAGAGAAAGCCCACTTTTTGTTGTTGGCTTGTTTATGAGAGAGAGAAACTGCCACCTGAGAGCTTCCAGCCACTTTATGCTGCAGTCCAGACAGCTGGGAGGGGCCCTTGCTGCCTGTGACCCCCTAACAGTCATTCCTGGCCATGTGGCTGTGTGGCCAGAGGGGGACAGTGTGCTACCATAGCTGCATCAGGAGACATTTCCGGCTTTGGACCAACTGAGCCACCCAGGCGCCCTGACATGTGCTTTTATAACACATACATTGAAATTCTTTTACTGAGGGGCGCCTGGCTGGCTCAGTCGGTTGAGCATCTGTCTGCCTCCAGCTGAAGTCATGATCCCAGGGTCCTGGGATCGAGCCCCAGTTGGGCTCCCTGCTCAGTGGGGAGCCTGCTTCTCCCTCTCCCTGTGCCTGCTGCTCCGCCGGCTTGTGCTCTCTCTCTCTCTTTCTCTGTCAAATTAAAAAAAAAAAAATCTTTGAAATTCTTCTACTGAAAGAATTCAGTATTTTTATTTTGGTCTCTTTCATTTTACAAGTTTCAAAAATAGCAGTCAAAGAGAAGAAAAATATGCCTGTCTTTTGGAGTAGGACCCCAGGTTACTGAAAACCAGTTGATTTGGGTCTGAGCTGACATTCTGGACAGAAACTCCTCTTCGGAGCAGACGTAGTACATAGAGCCTCAGGCCCGTGATGTGCATTTATCAATTTGGCCAGTCTGTTTTTCTTTCCTTCTGTGGAATCTGACTTCTAGGATCTGTTTGCCTTCACGTAGCAGGGCCACAGCACTCCTTGCCCACACTGACTCAGGGATGCGTCCAATTTTTGGCTGGACACCTGATCCTCCTTACCCTTTCCAGATACACCCTGGCCACCTCAGCGATGACTTTCCTCGGGAGCTCCGGAGAATAGATGGTAGCGTGGGTGACATAAGGGAGAAGATGAAACTCGTGGAAAAGGCAGGGGCCAGCCACCTGGGGGACGCTCTCGAAGGGGCCTTGGGTCCTGGGCCTAGATCTATGGAGGAGACAGAAGACTGCGTGGTTTGCCGTGGCTGGGGAGGCAGCTTACATTTCCCTGGGTGCCCTTCTTGGGCCCATTCACTTTCTGGGGATCATAAAGCTCCACCTCAAGTGAGGCCAAGTGAGGCAGAGCTCCTGTGGCTGGTCTGAGCCCTGGGCTAAGTGGCTGCAAGACTCCATCCTCAGGGCACAGTAACCCCGGATGTGGGAGGTGTCCGTAGGGGCTCAGGAATCATTCACTTAGCACATACTGACTGGACATTTATGGTGAGGCAGGCACTGTGCCTTAATTCTGTGCTAGCTGCTGGTGAAGCATGTGTCTGTGTCATATGGAGTGTCTGTTCATAATTAATAATCATAATAGTACTAATGATGATTATAGCTGAATTTAGTGAGCATTTACAATATTGGGGCCCTGTTTTAAGCATGGTACCATATGATTTTATTCAATCCTTATGACAACCCTCTGAAGTCAGTAGGTTCTATTATTATCCCCCATTTGGTCTGAGAAGACTGAGAGAGAGGGTAAGTGACTTGCCCATGCCATAGTGGCAGGCTTTGTCCAACTCCAAGATCTATATCTGCGACCATCTGCCTCCCATAGCTTTAGTTCTAACAGAAGAACAAATAATAAACTTGTACACACTTACATAGAAATTATTGCAAGGATAGCAGTGGGGCTGGTAGGGGATGGATTTAGACCATCAGGACTCGCACACAAGCCGAGCCCTGAGTGGTGAAGGGAGCAAGGGAAGAGCTAGGGGAAGGAAGAGAGCTCCAGGAGGTGGGACAGTGTGTGCCAAGACCCCGAGGCCGCAAGGAGCTTGGCTTGTTCTAGGATCAAGCAGCAGGCCCCTGTGGCTGGTGTTTTGTAAGGA